GATCTGCACAAATATGCCATGTGACAAAAGGCAACTTCAGAAGCTATTGTAGACTTCTAGAGGAGAGGACTGAACTGTCATCTTCAGCAAGTAACACCTGGAATCTGAACCCCAGCAGAGTTTTAAAGAGCCTCCTCAGGCAACTGCGCAGAACTATATAGGAAAAGGATATTCATTAGTTCTGACAAGGACAAACTAACAAGAAGCTTAAGAGTAAGTGAATGATGTGCAGTCTCACTTCCAACCTCTGACAATGACAACTTGATTTAACTCTGACATTCTGCATACTGTGTGTAGTGGGAGAGGACAGTGGATTTTTGTGTAGGGCATGTCTACACTACAGACTTAAGTTGACCTATGTTAAGTTGACTTACAGCCACTCTCAGCTCTGTACAGGTTCCTGCTGGGAGCCCATCTTCCCCCCCATTCCCAGCTGGGCTTTCTTGTCAATTTCACAGCTCCATATTGGAGCTGTGAAATTGACAAGACAGTCAACAGCAGATGTAAGTAAGCAGTGTCTACACAGACACTGCCTTGCCCTAACTATATCGACGTAAGCCCTACCTCTCGCGGAGTTATGTTGGTGTAGTAGGGCACTTACATCAGCAGGACAAGGCTATAGTGTGTACATGGACATAATTAGGGCAACATAAGCGGCTTACGTTAAACTAGCTATATAGTGTAGACCAGGCTAAGACTAATACTGAACTCCTGAAGTTGTATTAGCACGACAAAAAACTAGAACTGTCTACAAGCTTCCTTAGTAAAACATTAAGGACAACAAGGATTCTAGTAAATCAGCAGCAATACTTGGTAACTGCTCAGTCCATAACCTAGAAATAGTGCACTGTCCTACAATGTTTCAAATCGAATGTGCGCAGCTCATTACATAGCTGAAAATCAGACTGCTTGTTTCAAAACAAACGGTTCTGAATGCCAACAATTCCCATTTACTTCAGGAGGAGGAGCTGAGAGCGCCCAGAACCTTTTAAAGCAGGACAACAGTCTTTACTTGTAAGAAGTAGGATCTGCCGCCTTAAAGAACAAATTCATTGTTGCTTTTTTTTAAATTTAAAAAAAAATCTGATTCCAATTCCATCGCCATCTCATTTGTAAATATGACCAATGACTTGCACGTTTGCATAAATCTATATTGAATATTTTCTCCCTTTTATGAAATGTAGACTAGTTGGTTCTCATTTAGCCCAACAAAAATTTGTTTCTCTTTAAAGAATCTCTTCTAATAAAAAACCTTTCAAATAATTAAATATTATAAATATATTTTCCTGTTTTGGTTTGAAGGAAAAATAAATCTTGGTATCATTTCACTAACTTGTAACATTTTGGAAATGTAAGTCCTCTTAAGGCTTTACCTTTATTGTTCTACCTCTGACTTCCAAGCCACTAGCTTCCTCTAATTCTGCTTTCCACTTGCTCTAATCCTACTTTTCCGAAGAAGAAATACCTGAATTATATTCTCATCATTATATTCTCCTCATGCCTCAGTTCAGAGACATCTTTGGCCTACACTAGCAGTACAATGTAGGATTTCCATGGACACCAGCTGCTGCAGACTGCTTTTTTAAAATATGCAGTACAGTAATTCAAAACAGTTAACCAGTGTAGTGATCTGTAGACTCCCAAACCTAAGCGATTTCAGCCACCTTTGAGTTGCATGCTGTAGCAGTACAGTCAGCATCTCTCAACAGATAATGCTGCAGAGATGGATCTAAATTCAGCAGTGATACTCCAAAATGTATGCTCCAAGCAAAGCCATTTTCCCTAGGCATTTCCAAAAGTGGTCTACAATTACTAGGCTTCAAATAGTTTTCAGACTCCTAGAAGATCTGAAAATCTTGTAAAGAAACCCACTTATTTTTAATAGGATGTACTTTAATTCTGTAAATTCTCTATATTAACCCTAAAATTTAACTGAAAAATGCTTTAACATTCACTGCTAAAAACAGGTTCTCTTTTTTTCTTTACTGATGAAGACACTTAGAGGCTCAGGTTTAGCTTCCATTGTAATGAATGGCAAAACTTGCATTGACTTCAATGGTGCAGGAATGGGTTCTTAGTGCGGCTACCGCTAAATTTCTTTGCAAAAAGGTGAGTTGAAACACTAACAGAGAATTGTTTAAGATCATAAATCATTAATACAACAAATTGGTAAACTTCAAAATTGCAAATACAGCACATTTTAAAACTAAATATTTAAAATTATTTCCTTTTACTTACCTCTCATGATCTAAGTTCATGGTTGTTACTCTCTCTTCTGGAAGAGCCAAATAATATAACACACACCCAAAGCAGAGAAAGAAATCTGATGCCCCACGCTGCTTTAGGTATGAGATCCAACTCTTGCAGGAGGAACACAGAACCCTAAACTCTGGTTTTAGCAGGTAAAAAACCCACTCCCATTTATTTAAAATGTATTTGTAATTTTGCAATTGTAAAGATTACAAATATACTCAGTTAAACAATTTGGGAGCTTAAGCAATTTTTAATAATTTCAGTTTATGTAACAAATTATATTAATTTTAATAGCTGTAGATTATTTTAAACACAAACAACATATTTAGTGGAGAGAACAGAAAGATGATCCATCTTTTTCAAAAGTAAAATTTGGTTCCTAATCTAAAATTAGGTTGGCTACCCCCTTTTTTTAAAAAAAATTCTTGTTTCCATAGAAAAATGTATTTTTTAAAAAGCTTTTCTCCCCAAAAATAATTACTAGCCAGTCCTCTGATATATACTATGACCATACAGCAGACAACTGGTCACTAAATATTTTTGGGGAGATAAATATTTTATTATAAACAGACACCTGACCCAACAGATCACAAAACAGAATTTTTTTAGCAGTCTGTCCTCTACAGAATATATTTCTCTCTCTCTGATGCAACATAATTCAATTCCCGAATTCCCAAATGCGGGTGGTTGGTTTTTTTTGTGTTTTTTTTTTTTTAAAAGCCTATCTTTCTACAGACAGAAGAAAAAAATTTAACCAATTGGGTGGTAGGGTAGGAATTATTCTGAATTTTTTTGGTCCCCCACACCAAACAGGCAGACCATCTTCTTGTCTTCTCCACTAAATGCGTTTTTTTACTATTGGTCATGAGACTTCAAATTGTGTACATTTTATATATTAAAATAAAAACCTGCCCAAGTTAAAGTATTTAGATTTGATAACGTCCCTATATTTGCACTACAACGTATGTAAGAATAATAAATACTTGTGCTGTAATTTAACCAAAGGTATCTGCTGCTGTTGAAACTCCTCAAACTGCAGCCAAATATCATATACACTGGTCACCCAGTGACTATTATCCTAGGCATTGTGTACGATAGGGCATATGATGTACTTACATTTTCTGTATAATTTTGTATATCTGACTATTCCATAATAATGGCCAGAAGAGATTTAAATTTTAAACATACATGCAGTATTTTAATTTGTCACCCACATGCTTTGTTCCTCTATTCTGGAAAAAACAAACACTTGTAAAAGTGAGATCTTGGTCTAGCCTGTAGATAACGTTTGAATAATCTGTCTAATGATAATCCCCAACGTGGTATGGAATAGATGCTAACTCTAGCTGTTTCTCATGACATTTACATAGGGAAGTAGGCTTGGCATGTCAGTAAAGATTCTCATGTCACAACACAAGATTGAACTATTCAGCAGAACATCAAATGCAAATTCCCCCCTCTGCAGCATTATCTCATGCGTCATCAATTACTGCCATGCCTAAATCTAGCATCATGCCAGCACATTAAGACAATAGGTACTGTATGCAGTGTTCACTGGACCAGAAGAACAGAAATAAGAAGGGGGAAAGGAAACCCTAAAGAAATTAAAAAAGGCAGACCGTGCAATACAAACCAGATCATGGCTGCTTAGCTAATATGGGCCAACTGCTGCGGAAGAAAAATGTCGAACACCCCAAGTTGTGTAAATTTCTGTAAACATCTAAACACGCACACAGACACACACAACACCAATCTACATAGGATGCAAATATATATTGATCCTTTGCTAACACTACAGTTTAAAAAATGCACACTAAAGGGATGAAACTTCAGAGCCAATTTTAGTTTCTTCAGGGAAAAAGCTATCTGAAAAGTGCTAATCTTTAATAAAAATTGAGCCTAAATCACATCACCAGTAAGCTTCCCTTTTTCCTCCCCCACCCCAATCACAGGTTTCACTCCACTAAGACTATAGATGAATATTTGCATCTAAGCACTAATGTTAAATGCTGAACCCCCAGGAGAAATTTAGGCAGCGTAAGAAGAAATGTTACTGTACATCTGAGACTAGCAAGTGATACTGTGCAAAGTTAAAAGATTCAGAAGCTTAAAAGAAAAGCTACCCAAAAATTGAACCTTTCCCCATTCTACAGTTTGATATTATTAATTGCCATACCTAATTCAACAAAGTAAAATGACATTTTTAAAAACTACACAGGAATGTTGTTTTATGTGAAAGATAATTTTTCGGGCAGATTTTATCATTATTGAAGCATATCAATTAAAATTCAGTTCTCTTCACTGCTAATGGTAGTTCTAACATTTATTAAATTGTTATATACACTAGTTGGTCATCTGACTATTCAGGAAATGTAAGCTAAAAGGATCAAAATACATTTTACTCCTCTTTCATTAGGTTCACAAAAATAAACTAACTTCTCAACAAAATTTAATATTTAGCAAACTAACTTGCCATAAATAATGTATTATTTCAAATAGTTTCTCAAATATCAAGCTGAACTATTTTTACAGTAACCTAGATTATAAAAAGTACTATTTAAAGATTGACGCCCAGGCCCACTTAACATTAATGCAGGACATGCAAGCATCTTAGAAAAGAATATCCCTGAACTGCTATTTACACACTAGTGCCTGGTCCTGTCAAATTTAACTGCATTCACATCAAGTCCCATCCGATCACTGTCTAATTTGCTGGTGGGCCGATGGTGATGATATGTGTATCTTACCGATTCTATTGGCTTGTCTAGAGATGCCTGTTCAATCTCCAAGTGTCCTTCTTCATATTGATCAAAGTGATTACCCTGCAAAAGAAGAATATTTTTTGTTATTTCTCTATGGTAATCAAGACATTTCCCAAAACTATGTAATTCCCACTCATAATATAAATTGAGCCCCAAACTCATATTAGACAGCAAAAGAAATCAACTGATTAAATAAGACTCAAATAATTAGGACGTAAAAATGACAGTCTGATGTAATCCCAGCTATGCTGGACTGATGACCTTCATAAACTAAGAAGGTTTCAGAATGCCAGATAACTATTTAAACTGACACCACGTGCTACTTTTAGTAAAGTAAGTGAAAATGCTGATCCTAAGAAACATTGAGTTGGAAGAAATAATGTAGGATAAAAATCACAGTAAAATTAAAATGACTCTTACATACAACAGATACAGTCCACATAGGCCACAGATGGAATGCATCACTGAAATCTGTGACTGGATGAGTCTAAACTGCTTGAAATTGAATCTCAGCAAAAACAAAATTATACACATTGTTTCAAATAGAAAATAGGAGCAGAAAACCATCTCCAATATTTGATGGGGAGTTACTTCAGAAACCTGACATTGGTCATAGTCAAAAGGCTGCAAGATTTTGTTCTCTAAAGCAAGTCACCAGATTAAAGCCATATCTCTTCTCTTGTGTATCCAACCACCATGATAGCTGCCCTTTTTGACAGAGTCGCACTGGTACAATGTACCTTGAGGGCTACCAAAGAGGCTGATTTGTTGCCTGCAGATTAATCAGAATGACAGCTCAATTGCCAGGGGTTGGCAGAAGGGCTTCTCTGCCTACCTACCATTTCCTCCTCTGCACTGCCTGCCAAGACATGTATAAAGTGTAACATTTTGCTTATAAAGAAAAGGAGTACTTGTGGCACCTTAGAGACTAACCAATTTATTTGAGCATGAGCTTTTGTGCTGTACTGTAGCTCACGAAAGCTCACGCTCAAATAAATTGGTTAGTCTCTAAGGTGCCACAAGTCCTCCTTTTCTTTTTGCGAATACAGACTAACACGGCTGTTACTCTGAAACCTGTCATTTTGCTTATAAAGGGACATGGCCAACTTGAAATCTAGCCAATTTCAAAACAACTTCCCCGCCAATTTGAGGCCTTTCAACTATATTTTCCTATAGTTAAAAATGTCCTTCTACCTGCTGCTGTGTGAAAGGCCCATAAGAACATGGGAAACACTGACTATGCAGAGAGTGTTTGCAAATACACTAATCAAATAAGATGAAAAAGAAAAATACTAGTCGAATGTCAGTTGCAATAACCTCAGCTGTTACCTATTAATTATAAAAAAAGTTAAATCAAACTGAAGTGTAATTTTTAAGATGACTGTTACCCATTAATATCTGAAGCTTTTAATGGACAGAGTCTTCTTGAACTCCTAGACAACTAAATACTCATTGCCTGAAACGTTACGGTGCTTTTGGAGCTCAGAGTTGGAGCTCGGAGTAGAAGAGCACTGTTCCTCTCTTTCCCTCCACACCCCGGAGTTGGTGGAATACCCTTCCTGTTGACTTTGGTTTATTTTTGGGGGGGAGGGGGGAAGGAGGATCAACTTCTTAATCTAATTTTTATGTCCAAAACCCTTCAATGTGGCACATTAAACTGATGTTTTTATTGTGTCTAGAATCAGTCACAGACATCAAATATCGTAACATTAAATCTTTAATGGAAGTACACACATTTATTTAATTATACCATAACCAATAATTTACACCCATTGTTTCATGTTCTCTGTGTATATAAATCTCCCCCCTGTATTTTCCACTGAATGCATCCGATGAAGTGAGCTGTAGCTCACGAAAGCTTATGCTCAAATAAATTTGTTAGTCTCTAAGGTGCCACAAGTCCTCCTGTTCTTTTTGCGAATACAGACTAACACGGCTGCTACTCTGAAACATAATTGACATTTATGGCAACCTGGTAAAAAGGAAACATTAAACTGACCAAATTTTGTCTGAATTCTTTCCATATCTTGTGTGGACTCAAGCTGTATCACAAAGGATGCTCTTCCTATTTCATAGTGCCAATTAATTACCTCTGATTAAAGCGTCACTGTAAATGAGCTCCAAATCACAAAATAAAGGCTGTATATAAAAAGCAATGTTATTCCACTCATAGCAACCAAGTCCTAAACCCAAACTTCCTCTTATATCATTAATCTGAAAATCTAGAGTGACACTGTGGCCCCAATAAAGCAATGACAAAATTCCCATAAACTACAACAGCTTAAGATTCCACACTTCGAGTCAAATATTCCTGAACCCATCTGATGAAATGTCCTACCATCCAACTCTTTCTTATCTCTTCTCCTGTCTGGCATTTTCATAGACACAGACTTTAAGGCCAGAAGGGACCTCCTGCACATTGGGGGCATAGAACCTCACCCACTTACTCCGGCATTATGCCCCTAACCTCTGGCTGAGTTACTGAAGTCCTCAAATCATGATTTAAAGACTTCAAGTTACAGAGAACCCTCCATTTACTCCAGTTTAAACTTGCGAGTGACCCATGCCTATGCTGCAGAAGAAAGTGAAAAACTCTCCCAGGGTCTCTGCCAATCTGCCGTGGGGGGAAATTCTCTCCTGACCCCAAATATGGCCATCAGTTAGACCTCATCATTTTTTTTTTTTTTTTTGTAGTTGGGATTGTGTTGTACAACACTTTGCATTTATCAATAGATGAATTTCATCTGCCATTTTTGGACTTTATCTTAAGGAGTACTTGTGGCACCTTAGAGACTGTCTCTAAGGTGACACAAGTACTCCTTTTCTTTTTGTGGATACAGACTAACAGGGCTGCTACTCTGACACTTAACTATCTTAGTAATTTTTCATTGTCTGCAAACTTTGCCCCCTTTTTCAGATCATTTATAACTATGTTGTCATGAGATAAGAGGGAAGATCCTTTCATGGATTGAGAACTGGTTAAAAGACAGGGAACAAAGGGTAGGAATAAATGGTAAATTTTCAGAATGGAGAGGGGTAACTAGTGGTGTTCCCCAAGGGTCAGTCCTAGGACCATTCCTATTCCACTTCTTTATAAATGATCTGGAGAAAGGGGTAAACAGTGAGGCGGCAAAGTTTGCAGATGATACTAAACTGCTCAAGATAGCTAAGACCAAAGCAGACTGTGAAGAACTTCAAAAAAAAATCTCACAAAACTAAGTGATTGGGCAACAAAATGACAAATGAAATTTAATGTGGATAAATGTAAAGTAATGCACATTGGAAAAAATAACCCCAACTATGCATACAATATGATGGAGGCTAATTTAGCTACAACTAATCAGGAGAAAAATCTTGGCATCATCATGGATAGTTCTCTGAAGATGTCCACAGTGTGCAGCGGCAGCCAAAAAAGCCACCAGAATGTTGGGAATCATTAAAAAAGGGACAGAGAATAAGACGGAGAATATCTTATTGCCCTTGTATAAATCCATGGTACACTCACATCTTGAATACTGCATACAGATGTGGACTCCTCAACTCAAAACAGATGTACTGGCATTAGAAAAGGTTCAGAAAAGGGCAACTAAAATGATTAGGGGTTTGGAATGGGTCCCATATGAGGAGAGATTAAAGAGGCTAGGACTTTTCAGCTTGGAAAAGAGGAGACGAAGGGGGGATATGATAGAGGTATATAAACTCATGAGTGGTGTGGAGAAAGTGAATAAGGAAAAGTTATTTACTTGTTCCCATAATATAAGAACTAGGGGCCACCAAATGAAATTAATGGGCAGCAGGTTTAAAACAAACAAAAGGAAGTTCTTCTTCACTCAGCGCACAGTCAACATGTGGAAGTTGCTTGAGGAGGTTGTGAAGGCTAGGACTATAACAGGGTTTAAAAGAGAACTGGATAAATTCATGGAGGTTAAGCCCATTAATGGCTATTAGACAGGATGGGTAAGGAATGGTGTCCCTAGACTCCGTTTGTCAGAGGGTGGAGATGGATGGCAGGAGAGAGATCACTGGATCATTACCTATTAGGTTCACTCCCTCTGGGGCACCTGGTATTGGCCACTTCAGTAGACAGGATACTGGGCTGGATGGACCTTTGGTCTGACCCAGTATGGCCATTCTTATGTTGAACAGCACTGGTCCCAGTACAGATCCTTAAGGGACCCTGCTATTGACCTCTCTTTGTTGTGAAAACTGACCATTCATTCCTATCCTTTGTTTCCTATATTTTAAGCAGTTACAGATCCATGACAGGATTGGCCACGACTGCATGCTTTGCTTAAGAGCCTTTGGTGTGTGATCTTGTCAACGGCTTTTTGAAAGTCCAAGTACACTGCTCCAATATCCACTGGATCACTCTTATTCACATTTGACACTCTCAAAGAATTCTAATAGATTGGTGAGGCACTATTTCCCTTTACGAAAGCCATGCTGACTCTTCCTCAGTGTGTCCTCTTCCTCTTCAAGGTTTCATCACATCATTCAAGTGTCCTCACATCATTCAAGCATCTGATATTTCTGTTCTTTACTGTCGTTTCAACCAATTTGCATGGTACAGATGTTAGACTTACTGGCCTGCAATTGCCAGGATTGCCCCTGGAGCCTTTTTAAAAAACAGGCATTACATTAGCTACCCTCCATTAAAGTGGTATAAAGATTGATCTGATGAAGTGAGCTCTAGCTCACAAAAGCTTATGCTCAAATAAATTTGTTAGTCTCTGAGGTGCCACAAGTCCTCCTTTTCTTCACACCACAGTTAGTAGTTCTGCAATTTCATACAAATTCCTTCAGGACTCTTGGGTGAATACCATCTGTCCTGGTGACTTATTACTGCTTAATTCATCAATTTGTTCCAAAACCTTCTCAATCTGCGACTGTTCTTCAGATCTGTCACCTAAAAAGAATGGCTCAGGTGTAGGAATCTCCTTTACATCCATTACTGCTTTAGGTCCTGGTTCACCAAGGTATTTAGGCACATACTTAGTTTTAGCACAAGTAGTCCTACTGACTTTTGTGGGACTAGGCACCAAGGTGAATGGATTTAAATC